GGATTACTTATTTATAAACATGCAAAACAGGAAGTTTTTATTTACACTAAAGGATTCAGAATGTGATTATATAGTCTACATCGTTTATTTAAAAATTACAATTTGATCCCTTAGGCAACAAGTTTCAAGAGTATATTTAATACCCTAAGGATTTTACAAAATTGTTTTGCCCAAAACATCCATTAACACAGGTGCTATGTGGTATAACAGAAAATGGGAAGGGCACAGGTAAGAGAAAGAATAAATATTATTTCCCAAGATTGTCACAGCATCCCTCAGGTACCTATCAAAGGCTAGAGTCATGTCTGTAGCCAGGGCTGTCTAGCCCAAGCCAGGTTTTCTGTCTTCCAAGGCCCTGTGTATACTGTTGCTTCTGACTAATTCCTGTCTGCACCCTGCAACTATCTCAACGTAGCCTTGAAGACTCAGCTCAGGCTCCCTTCACTTCCTCCAGAGAGCCATTTTGATCTCCCCAGTAGAGTTCAGGTACATCCTCTGGGCTCTCATAGCTCCCACATACACCTCTATCGTCCCACTTACTACCCTGGATAATCAATCACTTCACTTTCCTGGAAAGGCTGCAGGCTCCAAGAAAGGGCAGGTCTTCTGGCCCAGCACAATGGTGCTCAATAAACCTTTGCAGAAGGAAAGGAAAGGACGCTTGCCCTGCAAGGGGAGAAACTGTCCTATCCATGCATATCCCCAGGGCTCAGCACAAAGTGGATGCTCAATTACCTACCTGCCCAGTCAAGGAGTCCATCGAACGCCTATGTTCTTTCCACTACGCTACACTGCCTCCTGGATTGAAAGTCGGGAGACCTGATTTTTACCCTTGTCTTTGTCACTAACCACTGGTGAGAACTTTGGCAAAAGCTCGCTCTCTCACTGGCGGTCAGGCTCCACACCTTAAAAATGAAGGCATGAAAGCTTCTGCAGACTCTCAAACTTCACTGTAAAAATGAAGACTGCAGTTGTCTGTCCATGCTTACCTAGCCCATCACCAGGGTTTCTAGGCATTTGCCTGTAGTCATTTTCCCTATCTAATTCAAACATTTGTTTTCAGGCAGACTGACACAGCAGTGAAGAGCTCTGGCACCTGGCCCCCAAGTTCAAATCCCTGCTCCTCTGTTTTGCAGCAGATGATTCTGAGCTAATTCCTTCTCTTCTCTGCACCAGTTTCCTCATGAGGGCAAGAGGGATGAGACTGCCTAGCTCGCAGGATTGCTATGAGGTTCCCACTAGCCAATCTACGTAAGGTGCTTCCAAGAGCACACCAGGCCTGTGTTGGCTCTCACTACCATTAGGTGCCACTTAGTGGTGGATAATTTAACTCTCCTACTGGCTGTTCTCCAGGTTTCTTACAAGGATAGCATAAATGCATCCAAGACAACTTCGTCTCGTCCATTATCCCTTTCTTATCCAACCGCACCCCAGTCTCCCGTTCTTCCTTTCCCCGTAGTGTTTCAGTCCTCCTCATGAAGCAGGTGTCCACCACAGTGCCTAGTGTGGGGGTCTGGTAACTCAGGAGCCTCAGTGAGCAGTGTTCAGTAAGCCCCCACCCCTGGGCACATGCCTTACCAAGCAGGCAGTAAATGTCCATGCAACTTGGACCTGGTAGTGTCTGGTCCATAAGGGGGAATCCAACTGGGAGTGCATAGTTAGGAAAAGGGGGGAAAGAATTATAAAGGGGGGGGAGACTTAAGGAAAACATGGAACAGTCCTAGGTAAGATGTGGCCAGACTAATTCTAAGAATCCCAGAAGGGGAATGGATTGGGGCCGGTGCAGGAGGAGGCTGGAGGGCAGAGAATGACTCTCATGTGAGTCCCATGGGATGGGTAAGAAAGGGGACTGGACAAGGCAGTTCGAGGCCTGGGACTTGGCAGGAGGTCGGGCAGGCTTGCCTTGATGATGCAAGGCAGAGCAAACACCAGACGGGGAGTCAGGAAATCTGAGTTCTAATCCTAGATGTACCCTTGCCATTCCCTGCCAATGCCAGGAGTTGCTGCATTCCTCCAAGTTTCTGTTTTCTCACTAGTAAAATAGAACCATCTCCTCACAGTGCCCCGCGGCTCTGGGCCTGTTTTTGGGGACCTGCAAGTTTTCCACAAGAGTTTTCAATTAGTGTTTTCATTCAATAACCTAAAAAAACAAACAAACAAACAAACAAAAATACCTAAGGTAAACCTTTTCCAAGTTGCCTTATAAACAGTGTGGACACACGCTTTCAGTTCCTACAACTGCAGTGCCGGCATTTGTATTTGTTAACAACTACCTTGACACCAAACTACACTACTTTCATTGTCTTGGCCTCATAATGATAGAACAGAAGTACACTTAATTTGTGAAGGGGTGAAGGATATACTAGATCTAAATGAAGGTCAATTGTAGCGCAGGAAAAGTTTCAGACCTGCAAAGAGGGAAATTCAGACTGGCAAATCAAGGAACCACACAGATGAGCGTAAAGGAGTATCCCAAACATTGTCAGACAAGCCTCACAGCCACCCAGAGCAGTGCTTTCCTTTCAGCTAAATAAAGCCTGGTGATGAATATTTCAACTAGAACTGAACTGATTTTCTTTTGTGCTTTACCTGTAAACTGTTGCTGTTGTTTTACTGCCTATATGTGCAATAAGCAAGAGGAATTTACGCTAGCTTAGCGTTTGTATGTACGGAATGTATTTTAAGTCACAGTGCTGGAACAGCTTTTCCTTTAAGAAGACTGGGTGCGTTGTTCAAGTTTGAGAAACAAGTGCTAGAGGCTGTCCCTTCAAGCTCCAACACGCACTTCAGCGCTCTGGTCTCAACCCTTATGGCATGTCTGGATAGCTCAGCAGTTCTTTCCCTTCTCGCCCCACTGTCTTTAGGACAAAATCTCAGATCTCTTAACATGCCCTGGATGCCCCTTGGGATCTGTTCCGGACGCCTACCTTCCTTGTCCAGACGTCTCTGGATTCCTGCCTTCCCTGCCCTCTGCCCCACCACTGCTGCTTGCTGCCCCTCACTTAGTGAACTCCTTCTAAGCCTTCAGGTCTCTGTGAAATCACTCCCACCAGACAAGAGCAGGCTCCTTGTTACAGCCGTCTGTCACCTCCTGTACTGTCCCTCACAGGAATGTCAGTCGATTATTATTAAATTATGCCTATCTGACTCCAAGAAGCCAGGGGCTAGGACTCCTCTGTCCTCTACTGAACATACTGCGCCTAGCACATAGTAGGGACCCACACGGTAGGATAGTGGTCCTCATCCACTCGAGCCTCTTAAATACCCACACATAACCCACTGTCCTCACAGCTCCCAGAACAGAGAGCCAGCAGGGAAAGTATTACCTGGGGACCAAAGAAGTTTCTCTCAAAGTCCATGACCAGAGTAGGGGCCCAACAAGGCTCCAGGTGAACTCTATAATACCTGCTCTGTGACTTTGGACAAGTTACTTAACCCGAGACTCAGTGTCACTGTCTGTAAAATGGGGAGAATAGTACCTACCTGTGGTAAGCTGAATAAAGATGTCCACATCTTAGAACTTAGAAGCTGTGAATGTATTATTTATATGACAAAGAGGACTTTATAGATGTGGTTAAATTACGGATTTTAAGATGGATGATTATCCTGGATTGTCTCGATGCGCTCAATGTAATCAAAGGGTCCGTATAAGAAAGAGGAAGTTAGTAGAGTCAGAGAAAGCAATGGGAAAAAAGAAGCAGAAGTTGGAATGATGTGCTTTAAAGATGGAGGAAGCGGCCTCTAGAAGCTGGACAAGGCAAGCAAATAAATTCTCTCCTAGCCTCCAAAAGGCACGTAGCCCTGCCAACACCTTTATTTTAGGACTTCTGACCTCCAGAACTGTGAGAAAATACACGTGTGCTGTGTTAAATTGCCATGTTTGTGGCAATTTATTCAACAGCAATAGGAAACTAACACACAACCTCACAGGGGTTTTGTGAGGATTAAATTTATTGACATGTAAACACACCAAGATCACCTGGCACACAGTAAGCGCTCCAAAAGTGTTGGCTGGTACGATTACTCTTTTTGTCGAATTCCTCACAGGGTTGCCTAAGTGATCTTTCTAAGCACACATCTCACCACGAAGTCCCTATTTAGAAGCTTTCAGAGCTCCCCACGGCACCCAACAGCAGCCCCTTCAGCCTCTTCTCACCTCTCCAGCCCTCCCACACTGCTCTGCACCCAGCCAGCACAACAACTTGTCTATTTACTGTCTGACTTCCCTTGCTACGCCATGAGCGCCACAGGGTGAGGGCTCTGTCTTACCTTTGCGGCCTCAGCACCCCTCACAGGTTCCAGAACACAACACAACACAAGTCCTTGATACACAGCTGTCTAACACGCTGAATGAGTTCCACCCTGCATCAGGCTGAGCACACTGGGCTTGCATTCTCCTCAGATCTTTCCGGACTAGACTCCCTACCTCCCCATACATCGCCCTGGGTGCCTATCAATCTGACTGCATCATCCCTCTGTGTAAAACCCTTCTACTGCTCCCTACCGTCTTTAGGATAAAGGCCAAGCCTCAGGCCTCATGGCTTCTTCTGCATTTCCAACCTTATTTTAACTACTCTGAAATTCTTAGCGCCTAGAAAGTTAGGCCTCCCAGCTTCTGGACCCTTACGTATGCTGCTGCCTCTGGCCAAAATACCCTCCCTCACTCTCTTCACCTGGCTAACACCTCCTCATCCCTCAGGTCTCTGCTTGAAGGTATGAATTGTTGTTTATCTTATGCCTTGCAGTACCCCTGGGACCAAGCAGTACAAGGCATCTGCTGAAGGAACAGGAAGTTGTCCCTAGACCCTATTTGCTTCCCGGCACCTGACTCACTAATCTTGAACCCTGGATTAGCCCGGACCTAGGGGTTCTGCCTTAGTGCTCCTGGCCTTGACTCCTGCCCATCTTCCTGATCTGTACCTGTGACAGCCCCATGGTGATGAGTCATGACCTGATCCATGGTGCCCCCCCTACCTCGACCCCAGCCCCCAGAATGCACTTACTTTAGCTGTCCCACATCAGGACCTGGCACTTCTGCCAGTGGTAATGGGGAAAAGCATTGTTGTGGACCACTGTTAAACAAATAAGGCAACAGGAGTTATAGGGTTATCCCCTTGGTAAGTTCTGTAGTATTCAAACATGCATACTAAAGACATTCCCCTTCACCTGAACTCTGTCTAAATGTGTATGAAATTCTAACCAACTTTCAATATTTCTTAAGAAAGGCCTTAAAACAAACAAAACAAAAACAGTGTCTGGAGACCAGGCATTAGGGGTTCTTACAGTGCCTCCTTTTCAATACACTCAGCTTCCTACCAGTGGGTCTGACCCATGTGTTAGTAGGTGAGGAAATAAATTAGTGTTTCACACCCTCTGCAATCTTTTAAATAAAACCATAAATAAAAATAAAATAACAGAAAATGCCAGAATACAACAGACATTTTCACAGAACTTTTGTTTCAAGTGATACAATACATAAGGGTGTTCCGGATCACAACAGAAAAAATAGGGGGCAAGGTCAAAACATGAGCTTACTATGGGCTAAGGTCAAAAATTCTGAAAACTCCTAAGTTGGCTAATCCTTATTTTCTGATCATTTTTCCTTCTTACACCAAAGTATTCTCCGTGTTACTTCTATACCAAAGTATTTTCCATTCACTTTATTTACAGCCACAGGAACTCTAGGCATTGGGGTGCTGAGATCCAGAATAAACCAGCCAGCCAATGCCAAAAGCCTCTCCACTCCTACACAACACATAGGGCCAGGTCGGGGAAGTATGTGACCCCTTTTGGGAGACCTTTAGGCCAGGTCTTGGACTCCCACACCTCTAACTTGAGTATGCCAAGCTCCAAGATTCTTGGGCGTTACCCACACCTGTCCTTCTCAACCGGGCCCGTGCCACACCCTGCTGGCATAGAGGGTGCTGGCCTCAGCCCTTCAGAAGTGGGTGGGCCGTCTTGGGAGCATCGTGTAACCTCAGTTCCCACACTTCTGTTTACAATCCCTCTTCACCCATCCAGGTCCCCTGGGCCGACCCCTCTGTAGGTTAGCCAAGTCAGAGCGCTGGGGGTCCTGGCCGCAGGACCAGGCGGGGGCCTGGGCACAGAGCTCTGGCAGGCTGCAGTGGCGGGAGCCGCGGGGGCCCAGGGGTGCTGAGTTGCAGTCCGGACCCGGCTGCCACGTGCGCGCTCGGCCACCTCCCGCACACTGCCGCTCTTACCCGAAAGTCGTGGGCAGTGTCTTTCACTGGCTGCACGCGGTGCCCCTGGTGCCGGGGGTCGGCCTGGCACGAGCAGCACAGCAGCTCCTTATCGTCGAGGCAGAAGAGGCTGAACTGGCCGCGGTGAGGGCGGCACAGGCGCGGGGAGCGGTGGCCCGCCCAGCGCGCGCCCTCGGCCTCCTCGCGCAGCAGCTTCTCCACCAGGTTGTTGAGGGTGTGGTTGGTGCGCAGGTCGGCGAGGGCCGCGCGGTCCTTGCACACCGGGCAGGTGGGCGCCACCTGCACCTCCCAGCAGCGGGTCACGCACCCGCGGCAGAAGTTGTGGCCACAGCGCAGAGTCACGGCGTCGCGGAAGGGGTCGTAGCAGACGGCACAGAGCAACTCCTCCTTGAAGGAGCGGGAAGGCCCAGGGGACGCGGCGGGACCCAGCTCCATCGCCCCGGCCGCCGGACCCCAAACCTGTAACTTTCGCTCCCGCCTCTCCCACCCGCCTAGAGGCTCCGGGACCCTGCGGTGAGCGGCGCCCGGCCCCTTCCGTTCGGAGCGCTGAGCGACAGCAGCACCGTCCAATCGCGAGGGGCGCGCTCTGGCGGCTCCGCCCCAGTTCCGATCCGCGCAGGAAACCCCGGAAGAGCGGGGCGGACCCCGGCGCTCTGCGATCCTTGCCGGTCGTCGCCGGTCGTCGCCGGTGCTCTGCGGTCTGGCCAGGTTTAGGGAGAAGGAAACTCCCCATTTGTGCTGCCGGGCTTCCGTGTCACGGGAAACCTATTTCCGATTTGAAATGCGACAGGAAGTTCAGGAGCCTCTTCCTCAACCACTCCCTGGAAATTTCTGGTCCGCGCGGTTGGGAAAGAGCGAGCGCTCCACTTCCTGGTTCCGAAGTAGAGGCAAAGATCTGTCCCCCACCCTTGCTTTCGTTGTTCACTTAGTTTGGCCAGTCTTAATTCTGTACCCTGGAGTAAAGAGGAAACAGGTGAGAGAAGCGGGTAGTGGGAAGACCTCTAAAAAGACCCTTTTGTCCCGTGGTTGCATAAGTGGGCGGGTCACAATGTTTCCAAACTCTGTTTCCTAATGAGTAAAATGGTGCTCGTATCACTTGTCTACGTGAGATGTGAGGATTAAAATTAAATACGGAAAGTACTCATTACATGAGGCAGGCCCCCGTTAAAACAGAAAGAGTAGGGATTGCTTTGAAGCGAGCTATGGGAAGTAGAATCCAGGCTGAATTCCTACCTGCTATAGCAGGCCTGACTCTCTCCCAACTCCCCATTCTTGCCTCAGTTTGACCACTTTACAGCCTTCAGATGTAGGATTCCTTTCCCCTGACACACGTCCATTTTCCCGGTTTCTGTTGGAAGACAGTTCTCCAGTTGTCATTTTTCTGTATTTGAGCAGAGGCACTGACTGCCTTTTTTGGAATACCTTTTCAAGGATGTTTCTGTGGTGAATAGCCTTGGACAACAAATAATGGCTCCCTCTAGGCAAAGATCTGGCCGACTTAATCTACGTTATGAGAGATTCTGTTTCCCTGAGCTTCTAATTGCTCTTCTATAAGGCAGCCTGCCATGGCCCTCATCACAGAGGATTCTGGGAATCGGGGCTCGGAAAAGTGGCCCAAATGATAATTCTCGGACTATTGTTACCAACGTTAGTAAGGAGCCTCTCTTTCTCTCTGATGCAGGACTCTCACCTACCAGCATTCTTGAACCTGTTACAGGCTAACTTGTTAATTTGCAAAAAGGCTAAAATCTCAGTCGTTTTATAGTTCTTGACAGTTGTCTTTCAAACTTTTCCTCAGAGTAGCCTGTTTCCCACAAACCCAAGGGGATGAACACCACCAATTACTGCCTTCTGCACTGTTTCTTATGCATGGTTCATGGTTCTGCATTACCTGGGGAGCTTTTTAAAAGGAGATTCCTGGGCCCACTTTGATCTACTTGCCTCTCTGAGAGAAAGGCCCAGGTATTTGCATTTTCACGTGCTCTCCAGGGATTCCCAGGCACACTAAATCTTGAGGCCCACTGTTCTAGATCACATCTGGAGTTAACAGTTACTGATTCAAAAATTAACCTGAGAGGCAGTCTCTGAAAAGGCCACAAGATGGGGCTAATAACCCTACACTCCAGGCACCTCCCTGAAAATCTTGTTTTCTAGTTTCCTTTTCTTTCACTGTGTTCTCTTATCTGTGTGTCCCAGTGCTCTGTCAGTCTATCTGTTTTGCTATCTGTGTATTTCATACTGTTCTTACAGGCTTTTCCCTGTTCGTTTTGTCATTGTTTTTCTCAGACTCTGAGTGGGGCCACAAATCAAAACGGGGGTGAAGAATAGAAATTAAATAGATCTTATTTTCTTTAAGCAGAATACAAAAGTTACCGTTCAACCAATAAAGTTCTCCAGGCTTTCGGGAAATCCGGAAAGGACTTGGTTCTATTCCAAGGCCCACCACTAGCCAAAGGCATGACCCAGGGCACTTTTCTGACTTCCTTTTCCTCAACCATAAAAGGAAAGATCCAACTAAATGCTCCAAGTTCTCAGCAGCAGCTCAAACACTCTGAACTTTCTTATGCTTTGCATAATTTCAGTAAAGAGGGTGACTAATACTTACCCAGAGACCAGAAAAGAGAAATCTTGGTGACTATAAACAGTCTGTCACCAACTTCTGAAGAACTTTTCCAGAGGACCTTGAAGTTCAGGCTCTCTGTTATACCTACCGAACTAATGCAAAAGTCCACTGGCAGTTCTTGCTGTCTCTGACTTGCCCCATCCCAGACCCCAGGCATTCTTGCCAAGCACTGCCACTTTCCAAACCCCTGCTATACCCATGAAAGTGTATGTAAGGAATGACAACTATTTTTCAAATGTTGTGTTAGAGAAAAAAATTTCTAGGTGCAGAAAGATGGGTGAATTCTTTTTTTTTTTCTTTTCTAGACTAGAAAGTGACTCCTGCAAATAAAAGGCAGAGATTAGATTAACAAGATTAGATTTTAAAAGAAAACTAAGACCCAACTGTATGCTGCCTAAAAGGAACCCACTTTAAATATAAGCATACAAATAAGTAAAAAGGATAGAAAAAGATACGCTAACAGGAGTCAAAGCTGGGGTAACTCTGTTAATATATGAAAATCAGATTTCATATCAAAGACTAATAAAGGGATAATGTTCTATAGGATGGCTGCTGAGTCCAACAGTTGCAGAGCTGGCAATTGCAAGAGCAACTTCTAGAAATAGGCAACCAGAGATGCAAACATGATTGAGCTTATTCAACAGAAATACCATGGAAGTCTTAAAGGAGATCACTATAGTCCGATGCTTGATGTGGGACATAGAGATGACTGGGGCCTTCTCTGAAGCCTGAACCACGGAGAAAAAAGGAGGGTAGGGGCTCTGATTTAGTTTGAATAATGCAGGGAGAACTTCCATAAGAAGTAGTGTTAATGTAACTGGTTAGGGATAAACCTAGGGTAGTGAATTGCCTGCCTCTGGGTCAGATTGGTTGAAGACTTCTTTTATTTGATCCACATGTTTTTTTCCCCTCTGTATAATATATAATTTATGATCTTCTAAACCTCAACTTTTATTTTTTTATTTTTTTGTTTTTGTTTCAAGTTTTTATTTAAATTCCAGTTAACATACAGTGTAATATTATTTTCAGGGGTAGAATTTAGTGATTCATCACTTACATATAACACCCAGTGCTCATCACAAGTGCCCTCCTTAATGCCCATCACCCATTTAGCTCATCCCCGCCCCCCACTTCTCCTCCAGCAACCCTCAGTTTGTTCTCTCTAGTTAAGAGTCTATTCTATGGCTGCCTGCCTCATTTTTGCCCCCCCTATGTTCACTTGTTTCGTTTCTTAAATTCCACATGTGAGTGATCATATGGTATGTGGTATTTGTCCTTTTCTGATTGATTTATTTTGCTTAGCATGATACACTCTAGCTCCATCCATGTCATTGCAAATGGCAAGCTTTCATTCTTTTTTATGGCTGAGTAATATTCCATTATATATATTTATATATATATAAATATATGTAAAGTATATTTTATACATAATATATCCCACAACTTCTTTATCCATTCATCAGTCAATGGACATTTGGTAAGCCTCCACCTTTAAAATGCAACTCAAAATGATTAAACAGTAAGCAGATGGATTATCTCATATCACCAAAAGTCTAGAGGCAAGAAGGCTATGTCCAACCCAAAGACACTGAGACCCCAGATTCTTTCCATCTTGCAGGTCTGCCTATGGCTTCCTTTTGGTTGGAAAATTACTGCAACAGCTCCAGGCATCTTACCCTGATAATCAGCCAATGTCCATAAATGGAATAGGGCCATTTCCCTCTACTATGTCTCATTTTCAGAGCTAAGAAACCTTTTCTAAAACCCTCCAGAAGACTTCTCCTCACACCTTATTGGTCAGAACTGGGTCACACACTCACCTCTAAATGCATCACTGGCAAGAGGAATAAGACCACTATGATTGACTTGAACCAGTCAGGATTTACCTGAGTCATGGAAGTAGAGAGATGGTCACTGAGATACATTTGGGACTTGGCTATTTATTAAGAAAGAGAGGGAAATTGCCATTAGGTAGGCAACTATAGGTTCAGGACAGTTGCCAACATTTGCAAATTAGGAGATTTTACATAAAAAGTCAAGATTTCTTTAAAATTAATTGTGCTAAAATAAACATAAAATTTACCATCCTAAGCATTTCTAAGTGTACAGTTCAGTAATGTTAAGTATATTCCCATTGTTGTGCAACCAATACCCAGAACTTTCCATCTTGCAAAACTGAAACTCTTTACCTATTAAATCTTTTTCCCTCCTTCCCCCAACTCCTGGCAATCACCAGTCTACTTCCTGTCTCTATGAATTTGATTATTCTAGGTACCTCATATAAGTGGAATCATACAGTATTTGTCTTTTTGTGCTGGGTTATTTCACTTAGTATAATGTCCTCAGAGTTCATCCATGTTGTAGCCTGTGTTAGCGTTTCCTTCCTCCTTTAAAGCTGAATAATATTCCATTGTATGGGTAGAACACATTTGTGTTTATCCACTCATCCATCGATGGACACTGGGGTTGCTCCCACTTTTGGCTCTTGTGAATAATGCTGCTATGAACATGGGTAGATAAACATCTCTTCGAGGCTCTGCTTTCAGTTCATTTGGATATATGCCCAGAAGTGGACTCTGGATCATAATGGTAATGCTACTTTTACTTTTTTTGAAGAACTGCCATACTGTCTTACATAGTAGCTGCACCATTTTATGTCCCTACCAATAGTGCCACACGGGTTCCAATTTCTTCACATCCTGGCCTCCACTTGTTCTGTTCTTTTCTTTGCATTGTAGGCATCCTATTGGGTGTGATGTGATATCTCCTTGTGGTTTTTATTTACATTTCCCTAATCATTAGTGGTCTTGAACATCTTTCTATATGCTTGTTGGCCATTTGGATATCATCTTTGGAGAAATGTTGATTCAAGT